TGTCTTGGGGGCTCTTTGCGTAACATCACAGCGAAGTAATTGTTCGGAATCTTTGAGATTGTTTATTTGGGGCCTTGAACTGGTTGTAAGGTTTCATATGACGTGAAGAGGCACATACACTGAAGCAGTATGGTACATACAAAACTGATGGAAAATTGAAAATTAGAGGTTGTGTCGCTGCAAAGCCAACATCAAAGCTCGGCAAGAAACAAGACAGGAAGGAGCGAGCGCGGAAATCTCAATGAACGCTCTAGGCACATTAGGCTGTTTTAAAGGTCTGATTGGGGCAGACCCTCTGCGTGGAGAATGGCGCGGGTATACTACCAACCTATCCAAGAGGGGATTGTGCCCCAAGTCACCTGGTATGAGATCTTCACAGGTGCGATGTGAATCGTTCCACTTGTGCTCAGGGCAGAAAAACTATCTAGATTGCTGATATATTCGTTATTGGGACCCCAAGAATAGTACTTCGGTGTCCTCTTGACTGAGACATGTTAGGGCTATTGGGTCATGTGCCACGCTGAAGCACATTAGAATATCGAAATTCCTACTTGCCACCAAGAAAGTAACTCAATATCGGACCGTCTTGCTTTAAGAAGACTTCAGTAGTTTCCAACCGTATTGATGAAAGATAATCAAGGCAGGAAAAAGCACTCAATATCAGACTTCGAACGTTGATACGATACATAGAAATATTACTAAACATTGGAACGCACTGGTATACATCGTCTTGCTCTATTTGATCGTAAAGACAAGGTCCGAGTCGGGATATAGTCTACCAAAAAACGACTTGAGATCTGTGGCTAAGAGAGTGACAAACGAGTAGAACTATCTCCGGATCGGACTGGTTAGACCTGATATTCACGACACCAGACACTTGTAAGGATCGAGTGGTGCCTGGAGCGCAAAGCTGTGTGTGAGACAAATGGAAGGCGTTGATTGAATCTCATGATAGTAGAGGAATACCGGGGGAGATATCTGCGTCTGTGCATGCACTCATACCCACAAGCCACGAACCCAGTTTCTCCTAGAAATCTTGGAAACTATTGTTTCGATACCTGCCGTCGTACTGCACCCTTGAGTACATCCCCTTATAAGCATGAGCATAAACACGTACAATGGCACCCACGTAAGTCGCACACATCAAGTAACTAAAGGAAATGCAAGCCCTCTACCATAGAGTATTAATTTCGAGGATTGGGGCTCTTCTGAATTTTGATACCGCCGAAGGTTAAAAAGACTTGATGAGTCTGGCTATTTGTCGCTGGCGAACGGGTGCCTCATACGTGTCTTCAACCGATCTCGACAAAACGCCCTGTGTCCAAACATGCCGCTTCGGTCCCATGCCCCTGAAGGCAAAACTTACTCGTCCAGCGGCAGCAGGGATCGGCAGTGCTTGCTCGCCCCGCAATGGTGCCATGATAGAGGGTAAAGTATACCCACGGTGTGTGACCGTGTGTCGATAACGCAGTGATATGAATTATCCTGGGAAATGGAAGCTTCCAGGTAGATATATCAGCGCGGCAGTTGCTGTGTTTGTACCCCTAGATGCTGGTTCTGTTGAAGTCACTTGAAGCGGTTTAAGATATGATATTATGTTTGGGATCTATGTGGATCATACCAAACCATAAAGCAGAGCCCGCCCTCCAATAAGAGAGTTTCTGACTTCTGTCTAGAAATCATCAGCCCACATCTATACAATGTTATGATTTCAGCTACTGAAGACTTCGTAGTACGTCTGATTAAACCAGGGTATAGCCTTTGGTAAGCTCCGGATTTACGGAGTATTTACTTTCAGTCTTAGCTTGGTTGGGTTTCGGCCCCACGGGCCCACGCTTCAGAAAAACTCCATCATCATCACCTTCTCAAGCATTCAGCTTGCTACATCGCGATACCAGCCTAAACATACGCAGTGGTCCAGTCACGCACACTGACTGTAAAATACTGTGATTGGTAGAAATGCCTAGTCAGGGTAGTGGGTGACCTTATGTTGCAGCTCAGCCAGCGAAGCATTTGCTGGTGTAGCCGCCTGATAGTAGCGTCTGGTCTATGGTGGGAGGATGAATATCGACCTCTTCAAGCCGATAAATCCACTGCTACCATATAAGCTTTCTCTCTCCCCTCTTGTTATATTCTACGTGTGCCTATAGAGCCACAACAAGCAACGACTGCTAAGCGAGCTGCCGCCGTTGCCAAGATAGACTTCTACCCGCCCCACCAGCCGGCATTTATTCTCTAGTTAGTCGTAATTTTCCCACCTAATTGGGTAGCTCTGCCCGGATACCGTTTGACATAGATTAAACTCGCGGTTAGTTCGTGGTTCGTTGGAATTAGAACGTACAAAGCCTGCGCGAAGACGAACTCCGGTGGAGCTTCGGCTATACAATCGGCTACAGAATACAGACAGTACTCCGAAGTAGTGTACGCGTACGAATAACAGCCCACTGCCGATCGACAGGCTAAGAGAGTAGCACTTAATTCAGGGGCCTTTGAGTGATACTACAAAGTGATAGATAAGATGCGATGAGCCTCTTCTCACGATGCTCACTGCCTCATGATCTTTTTTTTAAACCTCTGTATTGGTTTTTGATAGTTTGCATTGTCTAACTATTGTCCTCTCATTTAATCTCTTTCGTCTTTAGAGCTACGTACATTCGTTCTTTGCTCCCTCATTTTATTTTTCTACCTTCGCTTATCGATGCTCTAATATGCGTTCTGTATCCTTCTTTCTATGGGGTCTGGCACCTCTGCTTGCATCCGCCCAACTCACTGGCAGAGTTGGGCCTCTGAAGTCAGCGGCTGAGAAAGCCGCCAACAAAACGTGTAATGTTCTTGATTATGGAGCAGTCGCCGACTTGTCAACCGATATTGGTCAACCATTACTCGACGCCTTTGAAGACTGTAATGGTGGTGGTCTGGTGTATGTTCCCGAAGGCGAGTATGCCTTGTCTACCTGGGTGCTCTTCGATAAAGGAGAGTCCTGGGCTCTGCAACTTGACGGCGTGATCTACCGGAATGGGACTGATGGCGGCAATATGGTAACGTTTGAGCATACGAGTGATTTTGAAATGTTCAGCAGCAACGGAAAGGGTGCGATTCAGGCACTAGGCTATGAGTTTCGTAATGCGGGAGAATCGACGAATACCAGGATCATGAGATTGCAGAAGGTCTCCTCTTTTGCTATTCACGATATTATTCTCGTTGATTCTCCAGCTTTTCATATGTCGCTTGATACTGTGTCAGATGGTGAGGTATACAACGTTGTGGTTCGCGGAGGCAGTTCAGGTGGGCTAGATGGTATTGATGTGTGGGGTGAGAATGTCTGGGTCCATGATGTGAGTCCATTGACATTGAATTCCTGGGAAGTTATCCACTAACTGACGATACATAGGTCGAAGTCACTAATAGGGATGAGTGTGTGACCGTCAAGGTACGAGGTAGCTCAATTTTGCTCAATGACGCGCTTGCTAATTGTATCCATCGCAGAATCCATCCCATAACTTGTTGATCGAGAACGTCTACTGCAACTGGAGTGGAGGTTGCGCAATCGGATCTATTACCTCAGGCACTAATATCACGGACATCATCTATCGCAACGTTTACACCCGCTCGTCTAACCAAATGTTTATGATTAAGAGTAACGGAGGCGATGGGTACGTGAGGAATCTGGCACTGGAGAACTTCATTGGTAAATTCCCTCTCCCCTTCCTTGCTGCATATTATGCCAGGAATGATCGCTAAGAAGGAAACACTGATCAGGCCATGGAAATGCCTATTCCCTGGACATCGACAGCGCTTGGAGCAATATTGACACGGCCGATGGAGATGGTGTTGAGTTTTCAAACATTACCGTATCCAATTGGAAGGGCACTGAAGAGGATGGTGCGCAACGTGGTCCGATCAAGATCCTCTGTCCTGATGAAAATCCTTGCTATGATATTACCATCAAGGACTTCGCCATGTGGACGGAAACCGGAGACAGCCAGACGTATTTCTGCCAGAGCGCTTATGGAGACGGACACTGTCTCCAAGATGGAGATGATCTGAAAGAGTACACAACGACACTGACGGCCACCAGCGCACCGAGCGGATACGCAGCGCCCACCATGAAGGAGGACCTTTCCGAAGCAATGGCCTTGAACACATCCATTGCAATTCCTACTATCCCTGCCTCCTTTTACCCTGGCGTGATGCCATACAGCCGCATCGCAAGCGGCAGCGCAGCAGTTGTAACCCCTAGCTCGAGCGTGGCATCCCCTTCAGTATCTGCAACCCCCAGCTCAAGCTTCGTCGCATGGAGTTCTTCAGTTCGTGCCTCATCGTCGTCGAGGCCTGTCAGCTCGCCATCCTTCACCAAGGTTAGCCCTTCCTCGTCTTGGATAAGGACTACAGGAACGCCCACCACGACTGCCTCAACCGACGCTCTGCCCACTATCCCCGCTCAGAAGCAGCCATCCCCTGACACCGAAGTGATTGGCAAGTGTGGTTTTGCGCCGCCTCCCAACCAGGGTGGCCATCACCATGTGCACCACCACACTGCTCCTCACCGTCACTGAGCTTGACAGCCGGAGTACTCTTATATATAGATAGTCAACTTAGTAAGGGAGGTTGTTTGGAAAAGAGAAAAGCTCTATTTATCGATATGTAAGATGGTACCGACCACATTGATGAACTACACTATGCAAGTACATACGATGAATACAATGAGAGATATACTTAATAGGTCCCAGGTTCCTTCCAAACCAACCATAACTTGAACAAATGATAGAATGGTATGGTAGCAGCTTTGGTACCATCACTTGTATATCCTCCTTCCAAGAACATGACACATATAATCTAAGATGACTCCTTAACGCATTCATCCATGATCAACTGGTTTTTCCCAGACTTTGAAAATGGATCAAAGTGTATATAAACTAGCTCCCTTAAAGCTTAGAGCTGATTCATCGACGCATCAGATATGATGTGGTGGTTAAAGATAGAAAATAAAAATAAAAAGAAGGTCCTAGCCGGATTCGAACCGGCGTTACCGGAAACTTTGACTTCTTTTATATATAATTGTTTATATACTGTTCATCAAAATCCGGTGGGATAACCACTACCCCATAGGACCGATGGATGCCGAAATTCTGGTCGAAGAGCACCTTTCACAAAATGAAGCTCAAGTGTCACGAGCAGTTGCTTTATATTGAATTTTGATTCTAATATATTCAAGGATATCTGAGTCATGGTGCTGGAAAAATACGTCTCTTGCTCCTAGTATGTGGTCGAACTTTTACAAAGCGTAAAAAGTTTGGTGAAGCCTAGTTTGTATATATGTTACTCCACTATTTTGACTTGAACTTTGGGGACAGCGGGGCTTCGGGAAGCCCGCAACCTCCCTGGAAGGATAACTTCTCCAGACCTTGGCGAAAGCCCTCGTTGACGACATTAATTAGCAAACTCAATGCTTTCATAAACCCGCTGAATACATTAGATTATTCGCGTACTATAAGGTTCCACTAAGTGGTAAGCTCTAAATTTAAGTCTTGCAGAAGCTAGAAGCGTAAGCTGTCCAATTTGGACTGTAACTAGAGGTCGGTCTGATCGGAGATTATGTTTAACTACTACCAAAGTCTAAAAAGGATTTCAAGTCAACAATTCAAAGAACAGTGTTCTTCGTTTCATTTATTTTCAGATAAATATATAAGAGTTGTTCCTATCTATCTTGCGATGGAGAAATGGCCAGAGTGCGGTGGCTTTTTTCTCAGATACATAACCGCATTAGGGCTCACTCTACGACTGAAAGGCTCCTGCTCCTAAGTGCACTGTCAAACATTATTTGGGTTCATCCCTGATCTTATACTTTCTATAATTTCCTTTCTAGTTTCCCTCGGGTTTCTTTCTCTCTTCCTTGATTTCCTTCCTTATCCAAGGAAAGACCAATACTTGGAAACACCTCCTACCATACTAAGACAGATGGCGGGCCATGTATAGTATAGTAGACCTATGATATCACACTTTTTCCTGATTCCCCCGCATCTCCAGTGGAGGAAAATATGAGATCTGGGACTTCTCCGGTGGAGGACTCCGCTGCCAAGACAACCATCTCGCAAAATGTCCGCGAATCATGAAGCCATTCACATGAGAAAAGCGAGCAATGAGACAGTAGCCAAGCTCTGCGTATTTTATAAAGGATCAGGATCTCGTCGAATCATTTAGGATGTTCTTTGTCGGAATAGTGGAAAATCGCTGTCTTATACGCGAATACTGTACCTACCTACGAGAGACGAGTTCGTCGCCGACATGCGTATCTTCTCTTCCATCTTCGCTGTGGCGAATATCGTTTCCCTCTCAACGGGCAGAGTGATACCTCGCCAATATGGGAACTCTTATGTTGGATATCTTCTCTCTACCTTTACTGACGCGAATCCTCAAGTATTCTGGTATCTTTCCGAAGGTTCTGATCCGTTAGCTTTCAGAGCTCTTAATGGAGGAAGTCCGGTATTGAAATCGACTGTTGGCACACGCGCAGTAAGAGATATATTTCTTGCTTCAAACGCTGCCAGGTCTGAGTATTTCATGATTGCAACAGGTACTAAACTCATGCCGTGACCCTTAAAAATAGAGAATCAATTTACTAACGAATGCGTTCTTGGATTAGATTTGGATATCAACGCCGACGGCTTTTCCTGGGATAAAGCAACACGACGTGGCAGCCGTGGGCTTACTATCTGGAAGTCAAGTAACCTTGTAGATTGGTCTGAACCTATATTGACAACGTATGTAAGCCAACAAGCTGATCAATTATAATAGGTACTGATTGTTCTAAACAGGATTGAAGAGGACACCGCTGGCATGGCCTGGGCACCTTCTGCTGTCTGGAATGATGACGAGCAGCAATACTACCTCTTCTGGGCATCCCGCCTTTATGACTCCACTGACTCAGATCATACCGGCACGGCTGGTTTGGATCGCATTCGCTATTCAACGACCAAAGACTTTGTGACCTTCAGTTCTCCAGCCGATTACGTTGCTCTGGACGACATTCCCCTCATTGACCAAGAATTCCTGGAGCTCGGCACACCCGGCGCCTACGCTCGTTTCATCAAGGACGAAAATGTCAACCAGGTTTACCAGGAAACAACGACAGGTGGGCTTTTCGGAGAATGGACCCGCATTCCCGGATATATTGGGGACAACCCGTTATCCGAGGGACCAGCTTCGTTCCCTGATATCGAAAATTCTGGAGTTTACCATCTGTTGCTTGACAACTATGAGGAATATGTTCCGTTCCAGACAAGCGATATCAATGCGGGCTCTTGGGAAAAGTCAAGTTCGTCTTCTTACCCCACGGGGTTGAAACATGGTTCTGTTTTGCGGTTAACGCAGACGGAGTATGATGCTATTACTTCCAAGTTTGGTTTGAATTAGGCTGTATATCTTCAGGATTACATATCTTGGCTGAGATCAATATGGGGCTCCTGTTAGTCGATTATCATAACATAATTCGACCTCTGTACACCATTGTTGTTCCATTGAAAGATCTTGTAACGTTGATTGTAGATTTTTATGAAATGAACTACTCTTGACCCCGACTTTGGGATGTAACTAAATCGTATAGCCTATTCGCACTAATGTAGGAGCTCCTCTAGCATCTGCACAGTTCTCATCATAGCCTCGTCGCGAGCCTTGAACATCGGATTGATATCAAGAAACCGCTCAACCTCCTTTAGTGTAGCACCGACATTCTCCCTTGTACGCGAACAGAATCTGCTGACAAATTCACGGTGTACAGGGACACGATGGTGGGACATCTCAAAAAAGTTTCGCTCGCTGGAAGTTTCCATGAGTTGAGTGATTGACGTTCCATTTGTCCGCTTCATTTCCTTTTCGGCGAGAATGGATAGGAAATAACGTTTATCGGCTGCAAAGTCTAGATATGCGTGAGTCGCTGGTAAGCCCGGAGGCGCGCCTCCGGGCACATTTTCGAGTAGTTTTGGGAAGGTTGCAGCTTTTTGCAGTGGTACGGCAAAGTTGCAGTCCCAGTCAATGATACTAGGGAGAGATTAGCATTGCATAAAGTATGATGTTAACTGGAGGAGAGTGGTTAACCCTTTTATGTTATATTCCTCATCAATAATGATATTATCATTGTGGAGATCCACATGGACAAACACCCAGGGACTATGTTCGTGCTCGGGAACAACATATTGAGGAATCATTGACCGTTGAATCAGATAGTCAATTGCAGTGGAATAGTCATGCCGGTGAAGCGTACGACGTATACCTCTGTCCACGCTCTCGGTGAGCCAGACGCTGGTTGATACCTGTGTACCCTTTGGCGTCCCGTCGGGAACCCCTGTTGAGATGAGGATGGCTCTAGAATATGATTGGAGGCGGACGTACCGTAAAACAGAGTTTGGTCATGCAGCGGACACTCGAGGATCATGTTGAGTATTAGAACGGCGATTTGATCTAAAACTTTCTGCCGAGATGGGGCTGCAGGTGTTAACTGATCCCATAGCCTCATGGGAGACCCTTCAATCCAATCTAGTAACATGTAACCAACACCGGCAGGGGTGTAGCCGCGAGATCCACAGTCAAAATACCCATGTATCCTAGGAGCAGGAACATTTGGACACCCGTGGGCGAGTTGGATTGGTCGAATACAAATTTGGAAAAAGGAATCATCTTGGTTCAGCGGTATCCTTGCAGCCCATCGCTCATCTCTATCGGGAAAGCTGATTATGAAGATGATGTAACCAGGTCCAGTGATGCGTGAGCTGTTATTATCTAGCTGACAGCCTCGAGCGCCAGCAAGGGAAGACACAACCTGAACTAGGGCTTGCTTGTTGAGGAGCTTAAGAACCTCGTTCACGGATACCATTTTCTTTGGCAGCTCTCTAGATTGTCAAAAAGTATAATCACTTCAACAAAGATTTGACTAGAGTACCTAGCAGTCAAAATACAGAATCGGTCATGTTAGGTAAAGGGGGACGAGCTACTATTCTTTATTGATTTCGTGTGACCTATTGACTAAAGAGCATGAATGGGCACCATACAAGCCATCTTCGTTGACAGGTTTCTCGGTAAATGTGCACTTTACTGGGGTTATGATTGGTATGAAGATGAAAATAAGAGACACCTACGCCTACGTAGTTTAGTAGAGGCAATAGCTAGGTAAACTGTGTAAAACAGTACATTTATAATATGTGGACTGGCAGACGGATGATGGCCACTTCGACTAGTCTGAATTGATCAGCATCATAAGTTCTGAATAGTGACATTAATCAAAGCAGTGTGTAGATCCAACATATCCATTGCAATTGCTGTGAGGTTGACCTATTTCTGGGTATCTGAAGCCGCTAACTAGCCGCAGAGCCCGTATTCAATAGACTAGGGGCTGTTAATGTTTACATCATGCACAGCCTACTGTGCCGAGACTCAATCAGCATTTAACTCCAGTGTTGGTTATGCCGATCAATTCCCGTATGGTCGGTAGAAGCGCTGATCCCCCCGGCCAATTTCCCGATCGAGCAAATCAGGCCAACTGCAAGTGGGCAGGACAGAATCCTCCAATATATTACAAATGATATAAAACGGATACAGGCCCCCTGTACCGATGAGAATCGACAACAAAGAACCTGTTTAGCACAATGGCACCCTCATTATCGAAAATCATCGCGCTATCGCTTTTCTTAGGTACAGCCCTGGGCGAGCCCTGGAAAGCTATCAACGCGGATTTTCCCGACCCGAGCGTCATCAAGACCGACGATGGATATTACGCCTTTGCCACGACTGCAAATGGTGTAAATACTCAGATAGCTCATTCCGCAGATTTCAAAACGTGGAACGTCTTGGATGGCCAAGACGCGCTTCCAGGTCCTTTTCCGAGCTGGGTAAATGGTAGCCATCCAAAGGTCTGGGCTCCAGATGTTATCCAACGGGTGAGTCTATGGATGATTTCCACGCAAAGGAGGAGCTCCAGCTAAGAATGACAGAATGACGGAACCTTCGTTATCTACTATTCCGCTGCTACCAGCGGAACAGGCAGTAGACACTGCATTGGCGCGGCGACCTCTTCCTCAGTTACCGGTCCCTACTCGCCGGAGCAAGATGTACTTGCCTGTG